TTCCTGGGGACGTGGATGGATTCATTCTTTCACTTCCTTGAGGCCTACTGTGCATACAGGTTGCCTTACCTGAGTCGAGCTAGGCCAGCTGAGGTCCCCAGGGGCTCACAGTCTGGTAGGAAGGTGACCTACCTGCTGGGAACTGAGACTGGTCAGCAGAGAAGGTAATGGGGTCACAGTAGGACAGGGGCTGTCCTTGAGCCCCAGAAAGCTGCCAGGAACATGTGCACTTCTGTAAAACCAAGGGCTGTCAAGCAGTGGGAAATCTGGGGAGAGCTAAAAATACAGTGTGGCAGCCCCTGCCACCCAGTTCCGGAATCCCGCTTCTGCCATTTCTCCCTCCCTCCCACCCGTGGAAGACAAGCTCAGTGCTTTGTGTTAACCCAGCCCCTACTGGCTCTGAGCCCAGAAGCACCCAGGACTTATTCTCGTGCTGGCAGGGCCCCCTCAGCTGCCTCTCCACCCTAGGCAGCAGCCCCTCCTGGGTCCCCTCCCTGGCCCGTGCCTGACCTAGCCACTTGGCCATCGGCTCCTTAGCGCCGACAGCCCCTGCAAGGGTTCTGCTCCTCAAGGGATGCCTGAACTGGCTGCAGGACCCTCTGGCTCCTGGAACTATAGTCCCATGTTTTCCTGGATGTAGCTATGAGGAAATTGACATGTGGGGTCAAATGGTTCACTCAGATTCCCTAATGTGTTGGGACACCACCACCACCACACTTTTGGGTGCCAGGGGACCCATGCAGGGTTTCCTGCTACTGTCTCTGCCTTGGTTTCTCTGTTTGCATGGCATGCTGGGTAAGTGGAGTTGGTCCTTCACACCCGCTCAGCTCACTTCTGATTACCAGGCAGGGGCGGAATCCTCTGGAGTCCCATGAGTCAGAGTAGCTGCCCGGGCATGTGGGATGGAGGTGCGGGCAGCTCCATGCCAGGCCGGCCTACAGTGGTGGAGGAAGCAGCCAACTCTTACTGAGAGCCTCCCTCCCAGGCGGTGACCCTGAGGCCTGCAGGCCCTCATCCTCTCCTTTCTGGGAGTCCGGTCAGTGCTCAGATCTGGGTTGGTCATCATAGATCCTGAGGGAGACCCTGCCTTCACGAGTAGTCTGTAAGTAGAAGGCCTGGCCTGTGCCTGTGGAAGAAGTAATCCTTAACCATGTGTGCAGGCTGGAGAGGTAGCTCAGTGGTTAAGAGCTCTCACTGCTCTTCCTGAGGACCTGGGTTCAGTTCCCAGCTCTCACTTGGCAGCTCACAGCTGTAACTCCAGCTTCAGGGGATCCAGCATCTTTGCACAGACATACATACAGATAAAACACCAGTGCATATAAAATAAAAGTAAATATTTTTAAAAACAAGAACCAAGTGTAAGCTGGGCGTGGCAGTGCGCACCTTGAATCCCAGTACTCTGTAAGTTCAATGCCAGCCTGGACTATATAGCCAGCCACAGGCCAGCCAGGGCTACATAGTGATACCCTGTTTTTAAAAGAAAAACAGTAACAATAAAACATGGGCAAAGGACAAGAGGCCCTGAGCCCCTGGATCTAGGGATTTTGTGTGCAAAGGCTCTGCCCACTGCAGCCATTACTGCTGAGTGATCTGTGTATGCAGATGGGACAGTGTCCATGTCCTGGTCCCCATCTGCCAAAGCTTGGGTTGCAAAGCTGGCACTTCCATCCTCGGGAGCTGACTGGGGAAAACTCCTGAGGGTGTTTCTGTGCTGGGCCATCCCCCACACCTCGAGCAAAGCCTCGAGCAAAGCCAGGGTGTCCGGCCCCTCTGAGTGTCTGCCAGCTCAAAGTTGGACACTTGCTCCCAGAGGTAGAAGTGGCATCCACAGATGCCGTTAAAACAGCTTCATGCCGGCCATGGTGGCACTTCAGAGGCATGGGTAAGAGGTCAGGAGTTTCAGGGGCAGTCTCAGCTACACAATAAGTGTGGGGCCAGCAAAGAGGACATGAGGCCCTGTCACAAAACAAAACCAACCAGCGGCACGCATCCCAGCTCCTTACTCCACCTCACTCTGCAGAAGAGGGAGCTCGAGAGGCTTTCCCTGAGACACTCAGATAATAAACACAGTAGGGAGCTGAGAGAGGCTTTCCCTGAGACACTCAGATAATAAACACAGTGAGCTTCCTCCCCTGCCTGGCTTGGCACCAGTACCTTCCTGGGTACTGTTCACCGGGTCTCCCATGGCAGTCAGAATCTATGTTCAGAGACTGCGGTAGTAAAGGGGTTGACCACAGCTGTCTGTCAGAAGTTCGAAGCAGGCAGGAGAGGGAGGGAGAGCTTTATAGTCTGGGGGAGGAAGGCCCAGGATGCTTCATGGAGGCCAGATAGAAACGGGACAGCCTATTGCTTAGATTTGCCTTTCTCTGATTGGTCCTGAGTTGGAAACATGGGCACAGGTGATGAGGGCTGTCAATCACAATCAGGTCCCAGCTGTTGACCTTCCTGGCCAAAGCTGCTAGACTGTGGAGTGTCCGGATGCTGTTGCAGTACTAGGCCACCGTCACCATCACCTGTTCACACTCAGTGTCATCCTACGGAGAGGCAGGGAGCCTGGCAGATACAGCGAAGGTAGGAAGGTGCTCCTCAGTTTGTGGCATCCTGGTTTCCAGCTGGACCAGTTCTCCCAGATGTTCAGTTATCACCAGGGCTTCGGAAGCAGAGGCTCCTTACCCCCACCACAGGACAGAGAGCATAAATGCAGGGCCCACCCACAGATGCAGGGAGGATCTCGTTAGGGAGTGAGCACAGAGTGCTTGGACAGAGGACCGGGCAGTGTCAGAGGGGCAGGCGGGTACGCTGACCTTTGTGTCTGGGGGCCTCAGGCCTGGGGTTTGCAGCTACTCTGGTGGTCCCATTGTCCCAGAAAGATTGGGTGGGCTCAGCATGGAAGGCTCCTGGCCAGAAAATTCTGGATGCCACAGGCCAGGTCTGGTTGAGTTCATATTCCGGCCACGCAGCCTGTGCCAAGGGGACAAGGCCTCTGGCCAATGGGGGCGGGGATGGGGGCGGGGAGGCCAGTTTTGGGCAGCACAGAAGCTGGGGAGTGTGCAGAGGCCTGTTAGCCAGCTCTGTTCTGTGGCAAAGCTCCCACACCTACTACCAAGACACTTTAAGGGTATAACGCTTCCCAAGAGAGACCACATCCAGGCCGGGAGCTTGCATCAGGGATGAGAAGCTGGAGGCAGGGCCCGGAATGGGTAGGCAGAGGCGGCCGGAAAGTCTTGCGCATCTGGGTGAGTAGATGGCTGGATGGTGGGAAGGGTCGAGGATTTGGTGAAAGCAGAGATTAAGGGAAGTCCCTGGGTTCCCCACCCAGTGAGACGCAGCACGGGACCCAGGCTGATCTCCCTGGACATCCCTCTTACCTGCAGGCAGGGGAGGAAACTGAGGCTCAGACAGGCTGAGGTCTCCAGGACAGTCCCCACCGCTCACCAGGCAGCCTGGAAGAGGGACCTACTGGCCACCAGCATTTGAACGGGTAGAGAGTGGGGAACCAGGCTGGGGCTCTGCCAGTACTGCTGGGCAGGCATGCTCTGCTCTGTGTGGCTTCCACCCAATGCAGTAAGGCCTCGAGTGAGGACAGCCGACACCTGGGACTCACAGCCACACTGGCAAAGTGCCTGAGCTCTCACTGTACTCAAGCGATGGTCTTCTAGGAGCCTCTTCATCCTAGAGAGCAGAGTAAAACCTGATAGATACAAAGTGGACTTGGCCTCCCAGCATTTAGCGGGTTCCAGGAACACTTGCAGGGTCCAGTCAGTGTGGATGTGGCCACAGTACCAGCCTCTCTGAGTGCTGCCTACAACCCTTCACCTATTCAGCAGGTAAAATGCCTGTCTTGAGTCCAGTGGAGCGTGCAGGACTGGACTCTTGGGATGCGTACGGCTATGAGAGCTTGTCCCACCAAGCCCTTTCCCTCAGTATTTTACTCCCACGGCTCCATGATGCCTTTCTCAGATGCTAAATATAAGATCCCAGCCATACATGGTTGCAGGAGAGCCTGGGATGCCCCTGACCTTTGAAGCTGTCCCCGGGGGCTGTGATGGAACAGCGTTACGGCCAGCTGGACCTAGGAGACAGCCCAGGAAAATTAAAATTGCCCAGATAGAGGCAAGAAGAGTGCAGTTTGTCTGTCTGCAGTTACGCTTTGAGGAAAGGCAGATTTGGAGAATGTTTTAGGCCCAACTTGTGCCTTGGGGGAGGGGGGACATTTCCTAAGTGGGAGTTAGGCCTGTTGCTAACGAACCAGGTGAAGCTGTGCACATTGAGGGTGCACCCACCCAAAGGCAAGCCGGGACCAGGGGAGGCTGCCAGCCACTCCATCTAGCCCTGGGCATCACATTACCCTGCCCTCAGCCTGCTCCCGTGACTCGCTCCTCCTCCCATCCCCAAGCTGTGGGCAGGGGAAGCGCCTGGAGCCAGATAAGGGAGCCTCAGAGGTTTGTGATGTATCGTCACCACGAAGTCATAGCATTCCAGCTAGCATGACTGACTGCTTCCTACCCCAGACCCTCGTAATTACACCGGAGCTTGTCAGGACAGCACAAGCTCATTCCACTTCTAGGCACACGTCTCTAATGGAACTGCCTCTCACTTGTGCATACGCTAGGACTTTTCTGTCTGTTATTCAATCCACAGGGAGCAAGAGGAGCCTTTATCAGGGCCAGGGACAAAGTACCTGTCCAGGCCACCAGTGGTGGCCCACGCCTTTAATCCCAGCACTTGGGATGCAGAGACAGGTGGATCTCTGAGTTCTGGGCCAGCCTGGTCTACAGAACAGGTCCTAGGACAGGCTCCTAAGCTACAGAGAAACACACACACACCTGTCCCAACTTTCCATCTTTGACCTACAAGCCAGAAACCTAAAAGAGAAACTGAGGCAGCAAACGGTGCCTCTGCATGCCGCCTATGGTGAGGCTGGCCTCTGACCCCTTAATCCGTGGGTCATCTCTATCCCCTGGTCAGGCTGATGGCCCTGTCCTTCTCTGTCCCTGCAGTTCAGCAAGATGTCTGTGAAGGAAGGAGCTCAGCGCAAATGGGCCGCGCTGAAGGAGAAGCTGGGGCCGCAGGAGTCAGACCCCACGGAGGCCAACCTGGAGAACGCAGAGCCTGAGCTGTGCATCCGGCTGCTGCAGATGCCCTCCGTGGTCAACTACTCGGGCCTGCGGAAACGCCTGGAGGGCAGCGATGGAGGCTGGATGGTGCAGTTCCTGGAGCAGAGCGGCCTGGACCTGCTCCTGGAGGCTCTGGCGCGGCTGTCGGGACGTGGTGTGGCCCGCATTGCAGACGCCCTGCTGCAGCTCACCTGCATCAGCTGTGTGCGTGCAGTCATGAACTCCAAGCAGGGCATCGAATACATCCTCAGCAACCAGGGCTATGTGCGCCAGCTCTCCCAGGGTGAGCTGTCGGCCATCGTGTGTGTGTGGGTGGGTGTGTGTGTGTGTGTGTGTGTGTGTGTGTGTGTGTGTGTGTGTGTGTGTGTGTGTGTTTGTGGACCTGGGAGCTCATCAGGGAAGGCAAGGTGGAGGCCACTCACTCCATCCGGGCCACCGAGTCCCCTGCACCGTTTCACCAGCTGCTACGAGTTGTTGCTTCCTCAGTTCTGTGGCCACCAGCCTTGTGCTGGCTCTACCCTCTGACCTCTAGGCCCTGGTACACACAACAGGTCACCCCATACACTGCCTGGCTCCAAGCCCCATAACAACACAGCCACAGAACTGTAGGCCTGGCCCACGCCTGCAAAGGATATCACCCTCCACATTTTGGACCTTACCTGGTCCCCCACCTCTCTCTGTATACCCAGTCGGCCACCCTGGCCACGCCGCCATCTTTTGCCTTTGCATACTTTAAGACAGCTTTGCCTTCTGGCTCACTGCAGTGCCGTGGCAGTGGCAAGAAAACCAAAGTGGATAGTAGTCTCTGTATGTCCCTCAGTGGAAGCAACTAGGTCCCCCTGGGGCTCTAAGACTGTCTATGAATCAGTGATGAGGGAGAGGGTCTGTGTGAGCAAGGAGACCAGAGGTTGCCACATATGTCTAGCCCAGGACACACCCCCACCCCAGCCTGGACCTGATTATACACCTCAACCAAGTCCTGTGTGGCTGTTCTCAACACAGCCAGCTGAGAAAGCGCCCCCAAACTTCCCTAGCTCAGGACGGAGAAGGCAAGGGCTCACAGGGATGAGGAGGCATCCAAGCTGTCGGCAATGCAATTGCTGTCAAGTATGGAAAACACTGAGCCTGGAGCTAGCTGCAGGGGCTGGGCAGGGCTGGGCTGGGCTGGACCAGGCTCTGTAGACTCCAGATACCCTCCCTTGCCTTCAAGCCCTTCCCTGAAAGGAGCTGTCTGTGGCCCAAGGGGCAAAGTCAGAGTACTGAGAAAGATCCATATGGCAAAGCCTGGGCCTGGCAGTTTGGCTGGAGTTGGCATCCTAGGCTGCAGCCCTGGATTCAGATCACAGGTGTGTTAAAGACTGATGGGGGAGGCAGGACAGTGGACCTGCTGAGACATTCCTGACCCTCCACAGCCCTGGATACATCTAATGTGATGGTCAAGAAGCAAGTGTTTGAGCTGCTGGCTGCTCTGTGCATCTATTCACCTGAGGGCCACGCCCTGACACTAGATGCCCTGGACCATTACAAGGTGAGTAGGGGAACCTGGGCCAGCATCACAGGCTCTGCTGCAGGAGCATACGCTGACCCTGCCCAACCTACAGACGGTGTGCAGCCAGCAGTACCGCTTTAGCGTCATCATGAACGAGCTCTCGGACAGCGACAATGTGCCCTATGTGGTTACCCTACTCAGTGTGATCAACGCCATCATTCTGGGTCCTGAGGATCTCCGTACCCGTGCCCAGCTGCGGAGTGAGTTTATCGGTAAGTGTCCTCACCTGCTGGCCAGGCAGCTCGAAGACCTTCAGAGTGCCTGCTGGGCCAGCCCAGCCTGTGCCCTATCCCCTGGGATCCCAAAGTAAGGCACAGTTCCAGGGTCTGGCTGCCTCCTACCACTGCCTGTGCTATGGCAGAGACTGAGGGCTCTGTTTCATAGCTGTCTGGATGGCAGGGCCAGATAGGTGACCCGTTCCCAACTCCAGCTCCCATCCTTCAGGCAGTGGCCACTGGGGAAGCACTAGCTTGTGTCTAGACCTTGTCCCCTCTGGAGCCTTAGGACTCCCTGATGGAGGGAGGGAGGAGATGAAAGAGAGTCGGGACACATGTGACATGATGCTGGGGACAGGGAGAGGCAAAGGCAGTTTCCAGACTTCTAACCATCTGTCCATCCATCCCAGGGCTACAGCTGTTGGTTATTCTGACCCGGCTACGGTGAGTCCCAGCTGTGGCTGGTTCTGCCAGCTGCCGGTCCTTCCTTGGGGTTCCAGCTAGCTGGCCCATGCAGTCCCCAGAGGAGCAGAGAGGTTTCTTCCAGGAGTGAACCTGGCACTCAGACCCTGCCCATAGGAGCGAGGTTGCCAGGTTAACTCAGGATTCAGAACTTCTGCTGGCATTGTTTGCCTTCCTCTGAAGCTCTGGTGTAACAGGGCCCAGAGTTAGTCTCTTGACCCTGGTGTCCCCAAAGGGAGCCCGTCTAGTTGAGAGCCCTGTTCCCAACCCCACTGGGGACTCTTTACCTCCAGGAAGTCAGCATGGAGCCTTACAGACTCCAGTGCTGTGGAGCTACCCCAGCCCAAGGCTCTGGGCAGCGAGGGGGTAAGCAATTGGCCAGGCTGAGGTGACTGCAGCCTGACTCAGGCTAAGCCCATCCCCTCTTGTGTTGCTTGGCGGCCTGCCTCAAGTGTGAGCTTGACTGCGGGTTTTGTTGTTGTTTTTATTTTTTTTTTTTAATCCTGTACCTGTCATGAGGATCTGCCCTACCCCGTCCCTAGGCATACCAAGGTGACCCCTGGGCAGCCTGGCAGGGTGGGAGACTCAGCCCCATTACTTACCACTCATATTCTATTCTCGCTGCAATGCCTCTGGCTGGCTGCAGCACACCGGGCCTGGCTAGGAATGCTGCCCAGTGTTGCCCTGTGTGCTCGGGCGGTGGAGTAGAGGTAGCTGTGAGGAAGGGTCCAATGGAACAGCTACTCGACGGGTTGTCCTCACCCCCTAGAGATCTGGAGGATGCTGATCTGCTGATCCAGCTGGAAGCCTTCGAAGAGGCCAAAGCGGAGGATGAGGAGGAGCTGCAGCGTGTCTGCGATGGTATCAACATGAACAGCCATCAGGAAGTCTTTGCCTCCCTCTTCCACAAGGTGGGGCTTGGCTGTCTAGAGCCAGGGCCCCAGGATGGCCAGGCACAGAGCTAGGGTCATATGTGAATGCCATGCTGGCCTGGGGATGGGGTTGTGATGCAGGACAGGCTTCCAGAGGTCAAAGGCTGTGCATTCCTGCACCTCAGCTAGGTAGTCATTACTGGGGACTTCAGAGAGCTTTAGGGCTAGGTGAAGGGTCAGGGGGTTGAGTTTACATGCCCCCCCAATCTCAGCCACTGAATGCAACAGCTCTCATCTGGGGGTGATGGTAATAGGTAGGAACAAGGGGTACCATTTAATGTCTCATAGCATGTAGGGCGATCCTCAGTACCACCAGCAACACGAAGAGCTCTGCCTCTGAGTCACTCATCACAGGGCTTTAATGAGGCAAAGGGCAGGATGCCTCTGGCACCTGGGCTGGTGGGCGGGTTATCAGCCTGCCCAAGGGAGGAGATAGCCACCTACCGGTTTGTTTTGGTTAATGCAGGTGAGCTGCTCCCCAGCATCAGCCCAGCTGCTGTCGGTACTGCAGGCTCTCATGCACCTGGAACCTGCTGGCCGCTCGGGCCAGCTGCTCTGGGAGGCCCTGGAGAACTTGGTGAACCGTGCCGTGCTCCTGGCCAGTGATGGTGAGAAGCTGGGAGGGGCTAAGCATGCAGCAGGCTCAGCCTGGTGACAAGACCCCAAGATCTTTGGCTCCGTGGGAGGCCATGTGGGGAGGTGGTCTCCATCCCCGTCCCTGTCCCTGTCCCTGCACACTTCCTTCCTGCAGCCCAGGCCTGCACGCTGGAGGAGGTGGTTGAGCGACTGCTGTCCATGAAAGGGCGGCCCCGACCAAGCCCCCTGGACAAGGCCCACAAGAGTGTCCAGGCCAACCTCGGCCAGAACCGGGACAGTTCCTCCCCAAACACTACTACTCCCACAGCTAAAGGGGAAGGCCAGCAGCCAGTGGTGGCTTATACCTGCCCACATGTGGGCGGCATCCACAGGGCCAGTGATGATGTGGCTCCGCAGCCAACAGCCCTTGACCAGGCAGCCTCGCCTCTACCCACCCCACCACTCTCCAGCTCCACCCCTGTGCCCCCTCCCCCCGCACCCCCCCTGCCAGGCCAAGGGGCCATGTGTCCCCCTCCCCCTCCCCCACCACCCCCCCTGCCAGGCTCAACGACCGTGTCTCCCCCGGCACCTCCGCCTCTGTCAGACTCCTGGAGGACCCTGCCCCCACCCCCGCCCCCACTCCCTGGCATGGGGTGCCCACCTCCTCCCCCTCCCCCTCCCCCACTACCTGGAACAGGCGGGGCCCCTCCCCCACCTCCTCCCCTGCCCGGTTTCTCTGTCCCCTCCACGGTGGGTGGTGTGGAGGAGGTCATTGTGGCTCAGGTGGACCGCGGCCTGGGCTCAGTCTGGGTCCCCAGTCACCGCAGGGTGAATCCACCCACCCTGCGTATGAAGAAGCTGAACTGGCAGAAGCTGCCGTCCAATGTGGCAAGAGGTAAGTCCTTGTTCCAAGCCAGCCTCTGAGGAGGGTGCATGCCGGTCTCTGCAGGGCTGCGATCATATCCGTGTATATATGTATGTATTCACTATTCATACAATGTTCTGCCTGCACACCCACAGACAACACCAGACCTCATTACAGGTGGTTGTGAGCCACCAGGTGGTTGCTGGGAATTGAACTCAGGTCCTCTGGAAGAGCAGCCTGTACTCTGAACTTCCGAGCCGTCTCTCCAGCCTCATTGTAGCTGTAGCTGGAGGTTCTTTCCCACCAGCTCAGTCCCTCAGCTGCCTCAACGCCAAATAAACACACGGACGCTATATTAGTTATTAAACTGTTGGCCGATGGCTTGGGCTTCTCTAAATTATTAACCTGTATCTAATAATCTGTGAATTGCCGTGAGGCCGTGGCTTACCCTGAATCTGGCATGTTACTCCTTCGGCCACATGGCATCTCTGCCATCGAGGTTTTTCTTCACCACATCTTTCATTGTCTTACATAGGACTAAAAGCCACCACAGGGCCCTGTGGGTCATAGGTGTCTACTGCCCTGCCCTTCTCTAAGGCTCTGGATGAAGTGCCCTAGGTGTCAGGGAAGGGCAGCCAGAGAGACCAAGCAGGTCGCTGCCAGCATGGGTGTGTGTGCCCACATGCACACAGCCTGACTATCAACTCAGGCTGGGCTCTAGGCTCCCATTCAGCCCCCAGAACCTGGGCACTCCTGCCTTGGGACCCGTAGCCCCGCATTAAGGATGGCTTTCAGCGGAGCACCTTGCCCATCCCCCCATCCCCCTTGTAGAGCGCAATTCCATGTGGGCCACACTGAGCAGCCCCTGCACTGAGGTGGTGGAACCTGACTTCTCCAGCATTGAGCAGCTCTTTTCGTTCCCCACGGCTAAGCCCAAGGAGCTCTCTGCTGCCCCCACCAGAAAGGAACCCAAAGAGGTAAGAACAACGGCAGAGCCCCACCCATCTCCTCTGAGGGTGGAGTGACCCGCTCTGCCCACCCTCCGGATACCAGCTAAAGGGGTTTTCTAGGTCACTTTCCTGGACTCCAAAAAGAGCCTGAACCTCAACATCTTCCTGAAGCAGTTTAAAAGGTGAGTGAGGGACATAATGTTGCTGCCAAATTCAGCCCCAGGAAGGCAGCCTGCTCTGGCCTGAGCCTCTCAGGTATGCCCAGCAGTGCCCTCTACAGGCTGGCCAGGTCCATGCATGCTCCAGCCCCAGAGCGGGAGACGGTGGGTGGGTGGCTGCCACAGAAAAGTGCCACAGAAAGTCACTGAGGTAGACTCCTAGGCCATGGGCAAGCTGTGGCCAAGTCGGGAGTTTAGGCCCTGCCCCCAGTCTCTAAACCCTTACCATCTCTGAAGGTGGCAGGGGGCAAGGGAAATCACCCTCCTTTTCTCTGTCCTCACCCTCTCCAGCTCCAATGAAGAAGTCACCACCATGATCCGGGCCGGAGACACAACCAAGTTTGATGTGGAGGTCCTCAAGCAGCTCCTAAAACTCCTTCCAGAAAAGCATGAGGTGAGCCGGGGCCCAAATCAGCCAAAGAATCAGGGACTGCTGGGTCCTGACCCATGTCACCCCCGTGGAGAGCCACGGAGGCTGGGAGCCACCGTGGAGCTTCGTGGGGAGCTGGAAGTAGGCAGGGTGGGGCAGGCAGACAACTTGTCCCCACGCATGGTGCCATGCAGATTGAGAACCTGCGTGCATTCACTGAGGAGCGGACCAAGCTGGCCAGTGCTGACCAGTTCTACATCCTCCTCCTGGACATCCCCTGGTAAGCAAGGCAGCCCTGGCATCTAAATGCCACCATGTTCCTTGTCCCCTCTCAGAAAGCAGAGGTGGCCTCTGAAGTCCTGAGAAGCTCCAGGCCCTCTAGGCTGCCACCCAATTGCCCAGGCCTTACTTCTGTCCTGGGGACAGGCCTAGAAATGTGCATATTCCCAGGCCAGGCCATGGGGACCCCTCCCTCAGTCCACCCAGCAAGGGCAGAGCATGTTCCCAGTGGCAAGCATGGTGAGGCCTCCAGGTCCTAACCCCTTGCTCTGCTGCACCAGCTACCAGCTGCGGGTGGAGTGCATGATGCTGTGTGAGGGCACGGCCATCGTACTGGACATGGTGCGGCCCAAGGCCCAGCTGATGCTCGCCGCCTGCGAGAGTGAGTGGGGCCCAGAAACCTGTGGGGCTGGGGGGGACAGGCCTGCCACGCGCCAGCCTCTGCTGTGGCCTTGTCACGGTGGCCGTGAGAGCTGGTGACGTTCTGCAGCGAGACCCAAGGTCACCTCTGCCCTCTGCTGCTTCCTCATGATGCTCATGCACATGCCTGTACACTCGCTCACACCACACACGAGTGAGGACATGTAGTCCATACCCACGGGAATAGTGTGCACGCAGACATATTCATACACACCCACTCGCGTGTGCACACACACAAGGGTGTGTATATATATGTATGTATGTAATATATATATATATGCGTACATGCCCCTTCTGTGAGTGGAGTGACAGGCGGACGTGGCCACCAGATCAGAGGCACAGATGGGCTTCAGTGGCCTGAGGGCAGCTCCTTCCTCTCAGGCACAATCTCAGCCACTGATCAGGAGTGACTGTGCCCTCCCTGTAACCCAAGGGACAGGGGCCTGAGAACTAGGGCGGCTACCATTCCAGAGCCCTCACCCAAAGGACGCGTAATAGCTGTGCACCTGCTGGAGTTGAGGGGTCAGCAGACATGGGCACCACAGGAAGTATTTCCAGAGTCCCTACACCTGTTGGTGAAGGAGATAGTAGTCCCATGTGGCCCCTCCCCCTGTCCTTTCTGGTGTTGTGATGGGCCTGGGGTACACACAGGCTTTGGGCCTTCTTCAGCCCTGCCCATCCGTCACAGGTCTGCTCACCAGCCAGCGGCTGCCTGTCTTCTGCCAGCTGATCCTTAAGATTGGGAATTTCCTCAACTATGTAAGTCAGACTGGGCTGCGCCCCACGTCCTACCACACCCTGGGATTAGGGGGACTCACTCACACCCTGGGAGTCGGGGACTCACTCACACCCTGGGAGTCGGGGGACTCACTCACACCCTGGGAGCCAGGGGTCTCACCTTACACCCTGGGAGTCGGGGACTCACTCACACCCTAGGAGCCAGGGGTCTCACCTTACACCCTGGGAGTCGGGGACTCACTCACACCCTAGGAGCCAGGGGTCTCACCTTACACCCTGGGAGTCGGGGACTCACTCACACCCTAGGAGCCAGGGGTCTCACCTTACACCCTGGGAGTCGGGGACTCACTCACACCCTGGGAGTCGGGGACTCACCCACACCCTGGGAGTCGGGGACACCCCTCACCCTGGGAGTCGGGGACACCCCACACCCTGGGAGTCGGGGACTCACTCACACCCTGGGAGTCGGGGACTCACCCACACCCTGGGAGTCGGGGACTCACACCCTGGGAGTCGGGGACTCACACCCTGGGAGTCGGGGACTCACTCACACCCTGGGAGTCGGGGACTCACTCACACCCTGGGAGTCGGGGGACTCACACCCTGGGAGTCGGGGACTCACTCACACCCTGGGAGTCGGGGGACTCACTCACACCCTGGGAGTCGGGGACTCACTCACACCCTGGGAGTCGGGGACTCACTCACACCCTGGGAGTCGGGGACTCACTCCCTGTCCCTCACAGGGCAGCCACACAGGAGATGCAGACGGTTTCAAGATTAGCACATTGCTGAAGCTCACGGAGACCAAGTCCCAGCAGAGCCGTGTAACCCTACTACACCATGTGCTGGAGGTGCCTCTGGGAGCCTGGCGGGTGGGGTGCCCCCTGCTCTGGCCTTGGGCCTTTATTCTAGAGACCGAGCCCATGCCCAGCAGGCCTTACCTACCGCCACCCCCATACATTGGGACAGGCCCTCTACTCTCACCTGCCTCTGGAAAACGAAAACGCTGAAAGACCACAGGCCCTGGCAGGGTTTTAGGGGCCCGGGAGGGTCAGAGGGCTGCTGGCTGTGCAGGGTGCCATCCACAGGCCCAGTGGGGTCAGCGGGGTCTTACTGGGCACATTGTGTTACAGGAAGTGGAGAAGAGCCACCCAGACCTCCTACAGCTGCCACGCGACCTGGAGCCACCCTCTCAAGCTGCAGGGTGGGTGCTCCTGCCAGCCTAATGCCTCAGCAGCTCAGGCTCCAGCGCTGTCCGCCCTGTCTGCAGCAGGGGCTGATTCCCTACCCCAAAGAGGGGTGACTTTCACTTTGGGACAGGACCGAGTCAGCTACAGCTGCGTGACTCAGGTGAAGCCTAGAAGGGACAGGGTGGCGGTCTGGCACAGCTTCTCTACAAAGTGAACCTTCACGACAGAGCTACCCAGGTCTCCCCACTTCACAGTTCAGATGAGGAAGCTGAGGGTCAGGGAAGTGGTGTCACCATCCCGGAGTCTCGCCACCCAGCAAAGACACTGGCTGGACACTACCTCCAGAGTCTGAGCTCCCATGGGGCTTGTGGCTCAGAGGCTGCTGGGCCTTAGGACCAGTCAGACGAGAGTGACAGACAGCTGGGCTAAGGTGTGCCCAACGTGGCACAAGCCTGCTCTACAATGAGGGACAGCTACCCCGCCATCAGAGCCGTCAGGAGTGACTGGCTCCTGGGACCCGCAATGTGAAGTGATGGACCGGGTCTTCGGCGGGGTGTGTGAAGATAGCTAATGCTATGCAGTCAGGAGCCATTGTGACTGGTTGTCACCTGATGTTTCTGTCTTGCCCATCCTGCCCCTCGGTGCCTTTCAGAATCAACTTGGAGATTATCCGCTCAGAGGCCAGTGCCAACTTGAAGAAGCTTCTGGAAATAGAACGGAAGGTGTCCGCCTCGATCCCTGAGGTGCAAAAGCAGTATGCCGAGCGCCTCCAGGTAAGCCGGCCAGTGGGAGTCCTGTGGCTGGCAGAAGAGGCTTCCCAGCACAGTCCAGGACTGTGTAGACAGGGCAGGTGGTGAGCGGCTCCGCTGTGAGCACAGGCCAAGGGGGCAAAAGAGCCTGAGTCAGCAGAGCCGTTTCTCTGGTTCCTGTTCTAGTGTTTGCTGTAGGGTGTGGACTCCGTGGCCCTAGGCTAAGGCTCCCAGGTATACCCAGTGTGCCGCAGGCCCTACTGGACATGGAGCCCTGTCCCCAAGGGTCCCATGCCTACAGTATCACCAGCATGCTCCCTGCTCCCCTGGCTCACTGGGTGGTGACTGAGCCTTATGTCCCCAGGCCAGCATTGAGGCCTCTCAGGCACTGGACAAGGTGTTTGAGGCTATTGAGCAGAAGAAGTTGGAACTGGCCGACTACCTGTGCGAAGACCCCCAGCAGCTGTCTCTAGAGGACACGTTCAGCACCATGAAGACCTTCCGAGACCTCTTCACCCGTGCCCTGAAGGTGTGGTAGGCCCAGGGGGAGTTAGGTGATGCCTGACGCCGGAGTGGGGTTCCCAGCCAAGCCAGGCAGATTTGCCCCTTTGTTTCCAGCTGTGGATAGATACAGCTGTGAGCCCCACCCTAGTTGTCCCTCATATTCCCACTGTGGTTTACTGGGTTGGGTGACAAGGCTCCTGTCTGTCTGAGCAGGAGAACAAGGACCGGAAGGAGCAGATGGCGAAGGCAGAGAGGAGGAAACAGCAGTTGGCAGAGGAGGAGGCGCGGAGGCCGAGGGGCGAAGACGGGAAGCCTGGTGGGTCTTGGGGGCAGGTGGGGCTGCTCTCCTTCCTCTCCCAAGCCTTTGCAGTACTTCCCCCGATCTCCTAGGGGTGTCTGGGTGGCCTAGGGTCTCTGAGCTGCTAGCTGAGGTCTGTGGCTCTGCAGTCAGAAAGGGGCCCGGGAAGCAAGAAGAGGTGTGTGTCATCGATGCCCTGCTGGCCGACATCAGGAAGGGCTTCCAGCTACGGAAGACAGCCCGGGGCCGAGGGGACATTGAAGCAGGCAGCAGAGTGGCTCCAGCAGATCCTCCAAAGGCCCCAGAGCCTGGTGAGACACGAACCTGTGACCTCCTTCCCATGCCCTCCCGCCACTTACCTCCAGGTATGCTTGCCTCCAGGAAGCCTTCTGGGACCTGAGGCCCTTTGTGGACCCTACACACACTGCCCTGGAGACGCTAAGGGCAGCGCGTGTGCGTGCGTGCATGCATGCGTGTACGCATGTGGGTAGTTGTCACAGCTCTGAAAAGGGCCCCCTGGTGCCTCTCTTGGATAGTGTCTCTATAGCCTTTGGTAGCCAGGAGATGTGGGAAATGGTGTTTCACTGATGGACACCCTGAGTTCAGGACACCTGAGGTTTTAAGACAGGCAAACCTTTGGAAATGGATCTTTTTAAATGACCCGTTTTTAAATGATCCCCAAACCTCCAGTGTGTGGCCAGACTGAAGATACTGCCCTGCCTTGGTCCACAAGAGACCATGCCGGAGGGTTCCTGAGGCTGAAGTTGGGAGTAGTTTAGGAAGGCTCAAGGTCAGGAACACTTCCGGAAGTGGGACCAGAATGCCCTGGCGCTTGCCCTTCACTGACGTAGCTCTCCATCCACAGCAGCCGCCAGCAATGCTGTACAAGGCACAAACCACCCTGCCTCAGAGCCAAGCTTGAACACTGCGGCAGCTGGCGAGTCACAGGGTTGGGACCTTGTGGACGCTATAACCCCCAGCCCCCAGCCCTCCAAGGACGAAGGTGGTCCCCCAGCTCTGGAGAGGCGTTCTTCCTGGTATGTGGATGCCAGTGACTTCCTGGTCCCTGAAGACACCCTGAATGGCCAGCCCTCTGAGGGGGTCTGGCCAGTGACTCTGGGAGATGATCGGGCGCTGAAGCCCCTCGAGTTCTCCAGCAATAAGCCTCCTGGAGTCGAGAGCTCGCACCAGGATGCTGTGGACCCGGAAGCCTTGTGGGGTGTCCACCAAGCTAAGGCTGACAGCACAAAAGAGAGACCAGAGGATGCGTCTGAGCATGATCACAGCACCCACCTCCCCTGCACAGGCCCTGGAGAGGGTGAGGACCAGGATGACACAGCCCCAGAGTCTGCACTTGACACGTCCCTGGACAGGTCCTTTTCTGAGGAAGCAGTAACAGATTCCTCAGGGTCTGGCACCCTCCCCAGGGTCCGAGGCCGGGTCTCAAAGGGGACGAGCAAGCGAAGGAAGAAACGTCACTCAAGGGACCAAGAAGGTAACTGGGAGGTGGGCTGTGGTGGGCAAGGTTGGCAGACATCTGGGTCTGGATGTGTGGTTAGAACTGATTGTCCCACAACAGGGCCTGGGACCTCTCCCTGCCATCCAGCTGGTCCCTCCCCTATCCCTGCGGGTACTACAGGCTCAGCCAGCGTCCAGGAGAGAGGGTGATTCAGTGGCACACAGCACGTCACACAGAGGGCAGCTTTGGGGGCCACCGCCAGCATCACCCTCACCTGCAAATTCCTGCCTTCACACCCTCCTGCAGGGAGTAGAGCAGGGTGGCCCTTGGCTCTAGCTGCTGCAGGGTGGTCTGGCATTAAGTCCCTGGGTGCAGCCGCCTTTGTCCCCGTAACCAGAGAATCTGGGCTTCAGTCTGGCAGTCTTGTCTCTGCCCCTGACCAAGAATGTTGGCATGGCTGGCTTGGCCCTCACAGATCCTACCCCGAGTTCAAGGCCGCCCACCTGTGATAAGCTGATGAGTGTGTTTCTTTTATTTGAAAGCAGAGTGTGTCCCTGACCCTGATGATAATAAAACTAAAAGGCTGTGTGTGATCCAGTGAGGTATGTACACAGCCTGGCTCTTGTTGACTAATGGTGACGTGGCGGCGGGTGCTAGGGCCTCAGCCTGCTGCCTGGCCCTCCTGGGCACTAACCTAGCTTCTCTCCAGCCCTCTGGGTGTATCAGCAAGCCCCAGCCTTGGCTCTTGGTGGTGGGTCCTTTGCTGTTCCTGCCCTGTCTTTGTTGGAGAAGGCCCAGCTGCCAAGCCTTGCCTTCCCAGGGCCTTCTCTCCCCCAGCTGGACACAACCTCAGAGCTGGACTCCAAATGGGCTTCCAAGAAGGGGTAGATAAAGCCCAGTGAGGCTCCCTGTAGGGAGTGGGGTGCCAGGCCTTTGTGGGTACAGTGTGAGATCTTTGAGGGTACCTGTTTCTTGGTCCTGCAGGACAGACTGAGGTTGTTGCTGTCCGTGCCTCAGCCCTACTCAGGGTCATGGTAACTGCAGCTTTACTAACCCCAACTCCCCAGGAGACACCTTCCCTCTGCATGGGGCCAGTCCTCCCAAAGCTAGGCCAGCTCTCCCGTGGCCCAGGTTAAAGCCAAACACATGCCCACAGAGACTGTAAGGAAGTGGATGTCTCAAGTACAGATGCTGCCAAAGGCCAAGGTGCATGGGCCTCCCCTCCGTGTAGCCAGGAGCAGAAAGGGACCAGTGTAGACGCCAAGTCTTCTTTGTACGTACCATATGGGTCTTCTGGACCCCACTCATGGCAAGACGGCCAGGAACAGCGACATGGCCCAAGAGGTTAGAGATGCTGTTGGAACAACTTGGGCCCTCCTCCATGGCCAGGCTTCATGGATGGAGGAAGGCCCAGCTTAGGACAAAAAAGCCTGGCCCCATCATGAGCCATGAGTCCAAGCTGAACGACTCCCAAGCAGTTCTGGTGCTCAGGGACCCTGGGTCTGCCTGGCACGTTGAAGTTGATGGCCTCTGGGCTGAAGTCTCAGGGTTGAGATACAAGGATGAGATCTGTTGGTTCACTGCAGGCAAGATCCACAGAGAGGTCAGCTCCCCATCACTCTTGGGGCCCAGCCTGCACACTGCTCTTCCTTTACTTTTTCAGAGGTGTCAGTCCTGAGTATGGACTGCCCCATTAGGTAATGCATTCAATGGAGGCCACTTCCTGTGTCCCCGGGTCGGCAGCCTCTCCGTGTTGAACACCACTGTTCTAGCTAACCCAGACTTGCTATATCTTGTCTTGGTTGGTGGTTCGTTTCCCCATTCCCTGTGGACATCCTGATAACACCCTGAGCGAACTTTTGACAGCTTCACTCATCTGAATGCTTGACTCATTTTCTCTTGTCTTGAGCAGATTCTCAAACTCAGGCCTCCAGGGGGAGCATGGAACCCCACCCTCCACTGGTGGGAAAGCGGGCTTCTTAGGCAGCACAGAGTGTTGGGAACAGGGTTCCTACAGGGGCAGGTTAGGGTCAATTCAAGTGTGTGGCCGCCAGCCCATGGCCCTCCCTGGCCAGCGCCCATCCAGAGAGAAACGCAGGAAGGACCAAGTTCAGCTGAAAGGGCCAGTGAGGGTTGGCGAGGACACACAGTGGGTATTCGTCTGAGATGTGAGAAGTAGACCCCCACGGACCCCACTGCGGACGGAATCAGGCTAGGGCACCAAACACGGCTGGCTGGGACATCCTCTGCGTGGGCAGCCATAGTCTTGGCGATGGTGATGGGAGCCTGCAGTGCACACCTGCAGCTTCCTGAGAAAGGCTGCTCCTAATGCTGTCACTTCCTTCCCCACAGGCCTCAGGTCCAGGCCCAAAGCTAAGTGAGCGCCCTGGACGGCTCAGCACAGCGTCGGGCGTCCCACATGCTGCCTGGAGAGGGAGGCTCTTCGGGGCCAGGCTGGGACTGGGCCCCTGAGAAACCGAAACTCCGTGCCTTACCCAGCCAGGAGCCTCGGGAGCCTTGGCCGGCCGTGGACGCTAGGACCTGGCCTGGCGTCACCCTGGACCACCTGCACGCTCAGAGACTCACAGTCCGCTTTGCAAACCTCTGCCCGCCCCTATTGCATGCACACCTACCGCAGGGGTTGGGAGGGAGCCTCCTGTCTGGCTCTAGGGAGACAGGTGCAAACGCCTGCAATGGGCTGCAGCATCCCCAGCCTGCTTCCATGGCTCACTCGGTTCTTTTTTAGCTGAGTGCTGTTTTATGCATCTTAGTTCTGCTGTGGCTGAGTTGGGGACAGGGAGGGCCCAAGGGAGGCTTGGTGGCAGTGCTAAGGGCAGGTCCTGGCGGGTGGGCCCCGGGGAACTAAAGAAGATGAGTAATGGTGGTGGCCACAGCAGCTGCCATCTCTCTCGGTGTCTGGCCCTGCTCAGCCCCTCTGTCCCCACTCCCAGGTCTGGGAGCTCAGCAGGGATTTTAACCAATAAAGAGCAGCCTTGTCTGTCCTGACTTGTACTTACACCACGCGAACCACGTGACCTTGAAAAGAGGACCTGGCCGCCGCCCCCCCCCTTGCCTTTGCCTTGCAGCTTTGTTGAGACTGCGTGGAGGGAAGTGAGTGGGAGAAAGGCTAAGTGGGAGGTGCCCGGTGGGTTGACGGGTACAAAGATGGATGGGTGAGCCAGCGCGGGCATGGTGGCACGTGAGTGGCCAAGGAAGTCTACTCTCCTTCAAGAGGTAGAAATGTAGCGCCAGCCAGCCTGAGTGATCTGGGTCCACAGACAGGGTCATCACCCCCCACAACCCCAGTACATAGCGTGCTGAGGCATGAAGACACGTACTGACAGCCTTCTTTAGCGGGGTGGTGGCTGGACGGGGTGCAGCAAATACCAAAGCTTTCAGACATCTGAGTGCGTAATGGGCAGCCTGGGTATGGAGCCCGGGGCCAGATGGTATCCTTGAACAACAGTGCAAGGTGCAAGCCATATCCCTCAGAGGCCATTGTAGCAAAGCGTGGAGAGGGTTACCCTGTCCCTCAGGCCCCTGCCAGTGGGAATCCCAACCCAAGAGGAAGTAGAGGTCTGGGGCATGGAGGCGATGTTGGAGCTCATGCCAGCTGCTCAGCTGCTGGCCTGGCCCAACCCTCTGAAAGCTGCTGGCTATCTAGGGCAGAGTGTCCCTAAATACTATCCAGGGACCCTGTTCCCAGCCTCACAGGAAGGCCACACAGTCCTGGCACTCCTGGGCCTGGGACAGTCACCTGAAGTTCTCCCTTGCTTGATTCAGACTCAGCCACTCAGAGCCCTGCTGAGGGTTCTTGAGCCCTGGGGAGGTGGTGGTGATGGCTAATTTGCATTCTGCAAACCTCACTCCAAGTGCAGCAAGCTTTTTTTTTTTTTTTTTTTTTTTTTTTTTTTGCTATATAGTGATGATCAGCAACTATGATCAAAGGAGCTACAGAGATGGATGGCTCAGCAGTTGAGCACACTGGTTGTTCTGACAGAGGACCCAGGTTCCTTTCCCAGTACCCTCATGGCAGCTAACTGCCATCTATAATTCCAATCTTAGGGAATCTGATGTTTTCTTCTGGCTTCTGGGGTCCATAGGCATGCACATGGTACACAGACATATATACAGGCAAAACCCTCATACACATAAAAGTGTTCTGTTTTTTTTAATTCATAGTCAATCCATAATCCCAGCACTGGGGAGGGGGGGTCAGAAGATCGCTGATTTCTGTGTTCTGAGTTCCAGGACAGCCAGGGCTACACACAGAAACCCTGCCTCAACACACACACACACACACACAATCCATGGTTAAAGTTTTCCATTACCCCAGAGAATTCCTTCACACCCATGAGCATCTACTCTTCTGGCCCTGACTCTACCATGTGGCTTTCTCTGGGTTTGCCCATCCTAAGCATGTTATGTAAATGGAAACATTGAACACATGTCCTTCTGTGGCTGGCTGCTTCCAATTGTTCTCGAGGTTTGGGGAGCAGGGCTTCGCAACCCATGGTTGAGTCACATTCTGTGGCGTGGCTGGACTGTGTTTTCCATTCAACTGCCTCTACTGCGGGTCATTCCGTGCGAAGGGCCTGGAGTGGATTGTTGTCAAATCTGCTGCACACACCGACCTGGGCTGCAGACTGAGTGTTATGTTCAACTTTTTAAAGATTTCCACCAGGGATATTTTTCATTTTTATTAATCGTGACGGGGTGTTTGCCACAGCATACATGTGGGAGCAGAGGACAACCTTGGAGAATTGTTCTCCTAATACATGGATCCGGGGGTTTGGTGGCAGGTGCCTTGACTATCCAAACCACCTTGCTGGCAGCTTCACTCCACCTTCTCACTCTGGAGCTCTCACATATTAGAGTAAAACTGAGTTGTGAATTGTCCACTTCTGGGTAGAATCCCTACCCCATCAGTCAAAGCTGCTGAGGCCGCATGTGAGCAGAGCATTTCACGGGTCTGACACACAGCTACTCCCCCAGCCTTCCTTCCCCTCTGCTGGCCGGAAGTCAGCCTAGTGGCTACCAGGTGTGGAAGAAGCCAGCCCTGTGGCAGCTATGAAGCACCTGGCACCTGTAGGCTCATGGACTTCAGTTCTCATGAAATGTCAGCAGCTGTCTGTGCGATGGCGATGACGATGATGATGACGACGTGGTCTCACGGTAACCCAGAGGGAACTAATTATAGGTGGCGCTCTGCCTACACACCCTCTCCCTGAGGCCTTGCAAAACGTTGTTAAAGCCACTGTCTGAGGTCACACAATTGCCAAGCCAGAAGCCCCCGAACTTAGTGACTGCTGTACCTGCCCACCACACTGGGTCAGGCTCAATGAGGGGGTGATGGTGCTAATTCTGGCTGAGCCTTGTGACAGTCAGGGCCCCAGCTGTTGAGTTTGAGTGTAGGTATTTTTAGAAAAGCCTTCCCCCTTCTATCTGGGCCCTTGGCTATTTATAGTTCCAGGCTTAGGAGAGTTGGTGCCCCAGGACCCAGCTAAGCCCCCATACTAGATTCCTCTGAGCTCCAACCTATGCATCCCTCCCAGGACCCCAGAAAAGAAAGCCAGAGAGCAAGGACATGTTTCTCTCTCTCTCTCTCTCTCTCTCTCTCTCTCTTCCCCCCTCTCTCCTTTTCTCCCTCTCTCCCTCCTCAAGACAGGGTTTCGCTGTGTTGCTTTGGAGCCTGTCCTGGAACTCACTCTGTAGGCCAGGCTGTCCTCGAACTCACAGAGATCCCCCTGCCTCTGCCTCCCGAGTGCTGGGATTTCAGCCCTGTGGCACCATAGCCCTGCTTCAACATGGGCATTCTTAATTCATAATCTCTCTCCCCTGGAGACAAAACTCATTAACCCTTGCATCATCTACGGGCCTCTCTCCCGTGACCCCGACTCCCTCCATTCCTGCACCAGCTGTCATCAGCCCTGCTCAGGTACTCCTGCCTGCCCCAGCCACTCCTCCGGAAGTCTTGACCTGAATATCCCAGTTCTATTAGTTTGCCCTGTCCCCAGCATGGCACTGAGTGAGGCAGGCAAGGATATTCAGTCTGCACATAAACTTGTAGCTCTCTCCTGGGGGTGGTGGCCGTCTCAAGTCCCCGACTGCCTTGCCTGCAGCAACTGAAGGAGGGTGGGTGTCTATGTCCCCGTGTGAAGCAGAAGGACACAGATAACAGCGACCTGCGCAGCCAGGGAGGGGAGGGAGGTAACAGCAGTGTGACTGAAGCTGGCTGGGAACAGCCTCTCTTCCCCAAGTGGGGGGGGGGGGTTGGTCAGGCCCTCAGAGGGTGTGTCAAGTCTCCCTGGTCTTGTGACAGGTCTGGGAGCTGACTTCAGCACCACAAGGAGCCTGGCAGGTCTATGAACCCGTCCAGGGGTCAGCCGGCACACCCTGGAAATGCCTCCCTGTCTCTCTCTCTCTCTCTCTCTCTCTCTCTCTCTCTCTCTCTCTCTCTCTCTCTCACACACATACACACACACACACACACACACACACACACACACACGGTGGGGGGCAGTCCTCCTAATCCCAGGACTTCCTTTGTCCTTGTTCCCAGCCTGAATTGACCTGCTTCCTGTACCTCTACCAGGAGCGGGTGAGCCAGAGCAGAGTAAAGCAGCGCCCCCAGGTGGGCCCCCAGGGGTGGCAGAGGCCGTTACCACTCAAGTCTGGTGTGGGTCTCTTGGAAACCCGAGTCCTGTTCTGCTCCTGTGTCTCTCAGGTTGCTCTGGCCGGGGTGGTTGGGGGTGTTCATCTTACACTTGGTGCAGGAGTCAGTGGCTAGCTAGCTACGTCCACCCCAGAGCGTTCGGTAGGGTGACTGTGGCCGGCTGGGAAGAGGCTGTCCTCAGCTAAGGTGACTTTCTGGGCGGCCCCCAGGAGACCGGCGCCCAGTCCTGGGCCGGTTCACTACAGGAGAGCAGGAGATGCCGCAGCCAGATCCCAAGGACGCATTTGTAGCTCTGCTTTTGACACACTGTCTTGCCCAGTAAAAGACAGCCACCTTCGCAGTTCCTGCAACCCCAAACCCTAGTCCTGGCAGGCCAGGGGGCGGAGGTAGTGTCCGGGTCCCACAGCATTGGCCCTCCTCGCGTCCCCGAATGCTCTGGATCATTTGCTTCCCCGAATTGTGTCTGGGTGTCTGCGCCCTAAGTGCGCGCCACCTGCTTCGGCACGGGCAGGGGCGGGGAGCGTCACCGGCTCAGGACCCGCCCCCGGCCCGCCCCCAGCTCTAGGCGGCCGCATTTAATGGAGCGGGAGCGCTGGCGGCCGCGGGCTCTCCGGTGGCCCAGCGCAGCGGACCGGCCAAGCCAGCATGTCCGGGACCCGAGCCTCCAACGACCGGCCCCCCGGCGCGGGCGGAGTCAAGCGGGGGCGGCTACAGCAGGAGGCGGCGGCGACAGGCTCCCGCGTGACCGTGGTGCTGGGAGCGCAGTGGGGGGACGAGGGCAAAGGCAAGGTGGTGGACCTGCTGGCCACGGACGCCGACATCGTCAGCCGCTGCCAGGTGCGGGCCAGGCGCCGAGCCCCTCCCTCCCCGACCCGGCCAGCGAGCCTCTCCCCTTCCCTGGGATCCAGACGAACCCTGTCCTCCCGTGCCCTGAACGGGTCTCTGCCGTTTGGATTCCTCCCTTCCAGGAGCGTCTTCTTCCTCTTCCCCACTGCCTGAGGCCTTCCTCTCCCCCCCCCCCCACCCTCTCACACAAAGCGCTTGTCCTCCCTCCCACCCAACCCCTCCCCAGGGCAATGGCAGGGCCCCGAGCTAAAAATACAAGTTGCTGAGCTGGGGACACGGGATCCTCAGGGGTAGGGCGTTCCA